GGTACCCAACACCTCGTGATCTCAAAGTCACGGGTCTACTATAGATGTGACAACTGTATAGCAAGTTGCCTCGGGTCTTGCAAGGAAAGGGAAAATCGACATGCACTTTCTTTTGTCTCGTGAAGATAGGACAACTCACTGCGGCTAAGGTACCACGGGCCCCACAATGATTTGAAAACTCAATCGGCTCGGGCCTACATGACAAGATAAGTCACTACAAAAGCTATACTCTCAATGAGATCGAAAGCATCGCATTGGGAGTAGGGGCAACGGTTATGCAACGGGAATCGATAGTCGAGCTACACATCACGATCAGAGGGGAGCCCACTAGGCCACGAAGGGCTCGGGCCCAACCCTGGCTCGGTCTCGACCCGGGCTCGGTCCCGGGTCAGGCTCGACCCACGACCCAGCCAACAATTCCCCATCTTCGATCGACGATTTCGCCTAGGCCCTGCAACGGTGAATTAGGGTTAGCTACAGAAAGTTCTGGAACTACTTGACGGCTATAAGTAGCGATCCAGCCTTAGAGGTAAGGGCATCTAAAAGTTGACTACATTTACGTTATTCTCTTGCTAACTTAAGCATCGGAGCCCGTGTGACAAGAGTCACACCAGTTTAGCTCGATTTGGTTTTGTAGGTACTAGTCCCGAATCAACAAGTTTGGTGGGTGCGAGGAGGAGAACCGAAGGACCGAAATCCACGCATCAACAATAGTTAATATTTGGATATTAAAAGAATTATAGTTAAGTCTGATATAAATTATTTTCATAATATAAAATAAAACATGAAAATTATATAAATCAAAATGAAATCATATTTAGGTGAAATATCAGTTCAATTAGAACGAAATCTATATAAAAATTAAAACTACTTTGGAAGAAATTTAACCTAAATATAGGAACATTTTATAATTTTATTACATTTTATGGACAAATCGTATCCAAATAAGCACCATATTCTAAAGGGATGCTTGGAAAAGTAGAAGGAACTAATAGAAATTTGCAAAAGTAGCTTCCTCTATTTAGTGTTGCAAAAATAGTAAAATCTGGAGGCTCGACTCATGTAGAAAAAATAAAAGTCTAATATACCCTTAATGAATATGGAGCACGAACAATAATAATCTAATATATTATTGATATACCTTATTTAATATATTATCGATTTACTTGATTTATTATATTATTGGTATATTTGATTATGAGTACTGATATACATGATATACCTAATGATTTACTTGATATATATACCTAATTTGATATAAAAATCTGAAAAATATAAAATTATAATAATTAGAAAATTAAAAATTAAATTTGGAATAATTTGTGATATTTTACCAAACTTAAAAATTCTAAATTCTCAAGCATCCTATTCCTTGCAAGATTTTTATAAACAAATGGTACAAAATTCAAACATCATAATTACCGCAAAATGAATGATTCCTTAAATTGTTACATTTTGGTTTTTAACTTTACACAGAAATTTGTTTTTTCTATATCATAATATTTTCCAATGTATTTGTTGGCTTGTATTCTAACCGAAAATTCCTTTTTATGATACGTGGCTAAATTTTAATTTCAAACTCTTAATTTTATTCAATTCAGTACGGTTCATGCACACAAATGTCCGTCCAAACAATCAGATTATCTCGTGAGTCAGGCGACCTGTAAGATAGAGGTGAGCACTCCAATGCCAACGTCAGTAATAGTTGAAGAATGTGTGTAATATATTCAGAAGGCATTCAAACATACCTAGATAACAGATTACCCACTCATTTTATGGGTGATTGAAGTTGAATTGGTTTTAGCAAGGAAGGTCGAGATTATCTCCCTTGATTCTAGTCGTGGCTTGGTGATGAGCGCTGATCATGCTTAGTCAAGCCTTCCTTTGACGCATGTTGATAGCGACAACAGTATGGGGAGGTCAACTTAGCTCGTCCCTCATGACTACTGAGTCATGTACTTCCCTTGACTGTTCGACATGTGGGAGTCCATTTTTCCCCTTATAACAAGTACTAAACTAGACCACTTCTTCAAATCCAAACTAGAAAATTGTCCATTTATCACACAAATTTTAACTAAAATGACACCTAAGTTAAAGTCAAAATGCTTTTAATGTCAATGTCAATAGAAATGTCGAACTTCCATAATATTGAAGGAAATATCGATAAAATGTCGATATGAATAGATTTTTTAATAGAAAAAAATTATAAAAATGAAAGATTCTTACCAAATGTTTAAATTGGTAAATGTTTAAATTAATAAATAAGTATTTCACACTTTTAAAATAAGTTAAAAATAGTAATATTAACATTATGTCCATGCCACTTCACGTGTCAATATAAGTCTATGAATATATGCAAACATCGACAATAGAAATGTTTTTTTTTTTCTGAGTACAACAAATAAGATAGAGGGATTCGAATTCATGATATCTTGATAGGTGACATATACTAATTATTACTGAACTAAATTCATGTTGGCATCGATAATAGGAATATTGATATGTCGACCAAAATTAATACCATAATTAGAATAATTAACCAGGGAGCTGTGTAATTTAAATGACATGACATAAGCAAATTCTAGAAATCCGTGGATTTCACGCCATCAAGAGAGATTAAAACACGAATACATATATTCTTCTCGTTCATATTTCCCTTTCTTCTCATTCTTGACAAGTGGAGAATCTAACAACCAATTAAAATAATAACATTCTTATAAAAAAAAATAATAATAACAATAATAGCAATAATAAAGTTTAAATACACTTTTGATTACCTTACTTTCACCTTTTTCTCCATTTATCCAACTTAAAAATTGTTATTTTGATATTGTTAGGATAGTTGCCAAGTTTCTATTTCTTGTTTCTGGTTTTTTATTTTATTAAAAAATCTAAACATTCTATAATTAATTATTTTTCTTGTTTCTTATTTTTTTTGAAACATTCTCAAAATTGTATAAAAAGTGCAGAAACAATCAAAACAAAATTCTTGTTTCTTGTTTCCATTTCCAATTTATTATAAAACATAAATATAAATATTATTTAATCATCTTTAAATTCATGGACATTGCGCCATGCAATTCTATTTTTTTTTTCTTTATTAAAAATGAGTAAACAGAAACAAGAAATTGGAACGTTACGTTCCTGTTTATTGTTTATTGTTTCTTGTTTCTTGTTTTTAACTTTATTAACAAATCTAAGTATTTGGTAACTTTTTTTTTTGTTTCTCATTTTTTTTAGAAAAATTCTCAAAATTATATAAAAATTTTGGAAACAACAAAAATAAGTTTCTTGTTTGTTATTCTCGTTTTCGATTTGTTCCAAAACATAAATAAAAATATAGTTTTACCATTCTTGAATCCATAGATATTGAGGACATGCAATTCTATTTTCTTCATTAAAAAGAAGGAAACCACAACAGGAAACGTAACGTTACCAAATGGGCCCTTAGTATCTTCAATTCATTTTTATCTCATTTATTTTGATCAAAATTTTACCATTCTCGACAAAAAGAGCCTTTACTTTCTGTGTTATTAGTAAAGCGCGGGAGAGTGCTACTCCTAACACCTCGGTAAAGCAGTTTCGCTTCTTCACCTCGTCGACTCGATAAAGCGACTTCGCTCCTCTCATAAATTCTAGATCACTGAAGAGTCACTAAATTTCTATGCTATTATAGCCATAAATTTGTATTAAAAAATTTTCATGGTATGTAAAATTTTACAAATAGAGACCAAAATGGTCACATTTTTAAAGTATGGAGATCAAAATAAACGTTTTGAAAGTACATAAACTCAAATAAATAAAATTTAAATATATAGACTAAAATGGATATTATAAAAATATAGGTACGACAATAAACGAAAGTCTAAAATAAATACCAAAGTTCATAATTAATAAAGTTATGGAGTGGTGGAAGCAGACGAGTCACGCTATAAAATTCAATTAATACCTCTCAAGTTAGCAAATTTTACAACTTTCCTTCCTCATCATGAAACCCATTTGCTGCCCCAACTTCAAATAAGCAAAACATAAATAAATAAATAAAATATTTAAATCCTATTTCGATTTTTCTTCTTAATTTTTTAAATCTATATATTTTGGTATATTTTTATTGTTTTATCTATTTTTCTAATCATAATTTCATCCCAACATGCTACTTAATATATTATTATCATTTCAAATATAGTTTGATAGGTAAGGTATGCTATAAATCGAAGACTCAAATTTTGTTCCATATTTATTGAAATCGAGAGAAATATATAATAAATTTAAATTTAACAAAATTAACCTAATCAAACTCAAATTAACAAATATAAATATTAAGAAAGGTTAAACTTATATTATATCTGGAATAAAAAAAGTGGTGGCATTTTTTAAAATACATGTTAAATTTATGTGGAAATCTTTTATGTATTTAAATTTTGTTAGAAGATTGCATCGAGAGATCAGGATAAAAATATAAAAATTTTCAAATATATAAAAAAATTAAAGTTTTACAAAAATATACATAACCAAAATCAAACTCAAATATAATAAACTAAATACTAAAAAAAATGTTAAACTTATAATAATAACATATTTTGAAAAAAATGAAAAATTGCAACCATTTTAAAAATACATATTAAATTAAAATTTATTGAGGACCAAATTTTTGTATATAGAAACCAAATCTAAAAAGTTAACCATCAAAATGAAAGTTTCTTTTTACTGAAATTGACGGAGAATTGGACCTTCAACTTCTTAGAAATAAAATGTCTCAACGGTTAAATTAAGTTAACAAAAATAAAAGTTTTCATTAAAATAAAAACTAAAATATATGAAAACTAAAAATATAAGGATGAAAATCAACCCTTTTGAAAGTATAATAATTCAAACAAAACACAAAATGGGAAAAGTAAAGTGACTAAAAGGAGAAATTAAACTAAAAAGAGAAAACAGAGAGAAAGAGCTCAAGAACATACATCAACTGTAACAGTCTCCGCGGGTTCTTTACTCGTGAATTTGATAGAGGAGAGAGTGAGTAATGGCGAAATGGCGAAATGGCGAAATGGGTTTGAAGGGAGTGTGTTCAAATGTGATTCGCCCAGCAAGGCCGCGCGGTTACGGCGCTTAGGCGCCGTGCAGAGTGCTGCCAGTGGCGCCCGTCTGTAGGCCAGGTTTCCCTCCACCTTTTGCAATAAATGTGGTGCGCTCTTTCCCTTTCTTTTTCTCTGAATTTGCAATTTACACCCGATTTCCCATTTCCCAATTCCTCTCCATTTTTCCCCTTTCTCTTTCTCTCTCTCTCTACCCTCCTTTTCTGGCGAAAGCTGATCCAAATTGAATGTTCTTTGTGGTTTTCGGCGGGTTTTCGCTTCTGGGTTTCTCGATTTCAGGCGAATGGAAAACAGGGATAAGCTTGTTGCTCAAACCACTGACCTGGGTTCACGTGAACAACCCATCTCTATTCCTCTCCAAAAGGTATTAATCCAATACTCTTAACTCTGTTTTCTTCGTTTCCTTTTTTGAGTAATTTTCTTACCGGTTTGCCGAATGTTTTTCCGATTCTCGTTTGCTTATAATGGAGTATTTGGTTTTGTCTTCATCCTCTGCTTTTCTTTGAACGATCTGGGAAAGCTATGGAGCATCAATTTAACAGTAGCTTAGAGGCAAGAGGAAATTGATCGTTTCTGTTTCAGTCTCTATGTTTCATCTTCTAAACACTGAATCCTTAAATTGATATCTACTGTCTTTTCTAAATTTGTTACTGGGCATCATCAGTTTGAAGTTTGAACCACTTTTTCTTTACAGTTTTGTTACTGAATTATCTTTATGGTAAGTTTAAACTTGTTTTCTGATGACGTAGTGAAATACCCTGTTTCTGTTTTCTTTTTGTTCTTCTTTTGAACTTATTTTTCCTTCGTTTTTCTGTCCTCTTTCTTCTTCTTCCAGGATGAAGGCACAGCTGGGATAACTGAGGAGGGGGAGCAAGTTCATCAATGGAAGCGGCCGAATCTTGTCCTCGAGATACCGTCTCGAACGCCCGAATCGTCGCCTCAAGATTACCATGCTATAAAGATGCCTCAAACTCCTAGGAAAGTGAATTTCCTCTTGACACCAAGCCCCTCAGATGTGAGAATTAATGGATCTGGATCACCTGGTCCATCTTCATCCAGAGGCAAAACATCTATAAGAAGTTTATTTCCTAAGTTGAGCTTTATCCATAGAAGTTCTTCAGATGTTGAGAAGATTACCAACCTTGCCCTTGAAGGTTCATCCAATGGGGCACAAGAGAAGCCTTCAATATCTAGGTCCTTGTCTCTTACAAAGATATTCACACCTAGGATAAAGAGGACTTCTTCACTACCTGTTACTCCCATCGTTCATTCGAATCCCGAATCAGCACACGGTGGAAGCAGAGGAGGCGCTGTCAACCTCACTGTACGTCCCCTCACCACTTGTTGTTTTCCTTTGAACTGAGTTGATGCCCCTTCTGAGATACATTAACTTCTAAATATCTCAATGCTAAAGCATTCTAATTGTGGAATTTTATGCATTTGTTTATGTTTTGTGCAGGGAAAAGGAGTTCAACGACAAATATCTCGCTCTCTTTCGGTCCCTGTGAACGATAAGGAGAGAAGCTTGGGGAGGATGGATTCGTTTTTCCGTGTAATTCCTTCTACACCACTTGTGAAGGGAGGGAGTGGAAAGCTAAACTCACCCATAGAGGAAGCTGGTATGATTTGATGAAAGAATATCAAATATTGTTGAGTTACATTTTGTGGTTTTACTTATTGTTGAAACTGACATTTCGAGGTTGATCTAACGGTCGAGGCTTTACGGGCAAGGTCTTCTATTTCACACCTAGGGGGAAAAGAATTTATTTTGAAAACTAACATAATGGTGCCTGACTCTTTCATGGGTTCAGAAGAAGATAATGCTGGTGAAGATATACCTGAAGACGAGGCTGTTTGTAGAATCTGTATGGTCGAGTTATGTGAAGGCGGCGAGACGCTAAAGATGGAATGCAGCTGCAAGGGTGAACTTGCTTTGGCTCATAAGGACTGTGCCATCAAATGGTTCAGCATCAAGGGCAACAAGACATGTGATATTTGCAAGGAAGAGGTCCGAAACTTACCCGTTACTCTGTTACGGATCCAAAGTATTCGAGCTCGGGGCACCGGAGCAATCAGAGCTCTGCAGGAAGATGTCAATGGATACAGGTAGTTGAGAATTTTTCGAAAAAACTGTTTAATTCTTTTTGCTGTATTGTCCACTTGAAGCTTTAAACCACAGCAGATGCCTGAAAGTGAAGATTCTTTAAAACATCATGTCATCTAAAATTGACCTGAAAATTTTGCAGTTTAATTCTTTCTAACCTTCATGACCTCTCCTCTCTCCTGCTTTTTGTGCTAAGAAAATTTGTTAGTCAATCAATAAGGCCATCTTCAGACTCCGATTGAAATATAACATCGATTTTCATCTTTGTAAATCTTGTCCATTTATAACTATCCTGTTTTATACAAAAACTCCACTAGCACAAAGGATGAGTTCATTAAAAGTTTCCATGGGCAAATCTTTCCAGGGTCTGGCAGGAAGTTCCCGTGCTCGTCATCGTGAGCATGCTTGCCTATTTCTGTTTTCTCGAGCAACTTCTGGTCAGTAAAATGGGTAGCGGTGCAATCGCGATATCCCTGCCTTTTTCTTGTGTACTTGGACTACTATCATCCATGACCTCATCAACTATGGGTAGGCAGGCTAATAATGTTTCATACTCTTTATCTGATCTTACCAGTTTTGTAAGTTTCGTGGCACGCCATCGTCGCCTGCCTCTTTTTATTAAGCATAATGAAAATATGGTTATTTTGCAGCCATCAGTGACTATCATTTTCTTTTAGGGACTTGCTTACACTACTTGATTATGATATAATCTGTCATTATGGAATGTTATATCAAATTTTTCAATATCCTAACCTTGCGAATTATATATAGTTAAGAGAAGATTCGTCTGGGTTTACGCCTCATTTCAGTTCGCGCTTGTTGTTCTCTTTGCACATATCTTTTACTCCGTGGTGAGAACTCTGCACATGAATCTTTTTGATGCAGTTGAGATGTTATTTTTCCAATCTGGTGTCTTTTCCCTGGTTGCTGCAGGTTGGCATTCAAGCAGTTCTGTCGATTCTTCTCGCAACTTTTACCGGTTTCGGTGTCGTGATGAGCGGTACCTCAATCCTAGTTGAGTTCATCAGATGGAGAAGAAGATGGCAAGCTTCATTGGAGCAACATCAAATGCAGATGATCACTCGACCGGGCCAATTTCCCAGAACATCAAATGTATCACAGATGAACCGTCCAGGCTGACATCGACACCAACCCAAAACACGATAGATAGTACTACAGAATCAATAGCAGAAGTTCAATTTGTTGCTTATACTATATAGGTGGTTGTGGTTTAGCTAACTCGATTGGTTATGACGAACCCGAGAAAAGGAGAAATTTGTGGTGTTATTTATACATGGTTTCAAGTAAATGAGGAATTAGCTTCAAAGGATTTCCATGGTATTCTGCAGAACCAAGTTTGCAATGTTTTGTTTGGTGGTGGATGAGAGTGCCCTGTGGGCATTTAAGAAAGTTAAAACTTATGTAGATTTGCATTACTCACTTTCTTATGTTAGTTCATTAGAGAATAATATGAAATATCCGTTGAAGTCCATGTATTATATCTATGGGTTCAACATCGGTATGAGAGGTAAATCGATATTTCCATGATTTTACAAAAAACAATTGACAAAATATAAAAAATAACAACCAAATTTCACTAATATAAGCATAATATTAATTTTAATCATTTTTAACTTATAACGAGTTATAATTTTTTTTTTAGTAAATCATGAATTTGTCGCAAACAGTATTAAAAATCTCATTGAAAGCTTATGGCAGCTTGCCAAACAAAGCTAATAGAAAAAAGAATAGAAGTACTACTGTTGGTTTTCTACACCCTAGTTTTGGTGTAGCAGCTATATTTCGATTTATCTTCTTTAACCCTAGTTTTGGTGTAGCAGCTATATTTCGATTTATCTTCTTTTTCCAAGAATTTCCTAATTGGATATTGAACCATTTCATATGATGAGACTTGCTAGTCTATTGGGCACTTAGAAGTGATGAAACGGTTATGTGTTAATTTAAGTATTTTCGAATTTTTTATTTTTATAACTTTTTTCAGAAATATCTATCAACATCGACATTTAAAACATTGCCCTCAACCAAAGGAGTTGTGACAACGCAAAAGAATAATATTATGAAACAAAATGAATGTTTTTTTTTTCTTTAGAAACAAAATGAATGTATTTAATAGCTGACTAAACTATGAATCTAATCTCCAAATTTTCGGGTTTGTGTTCGTAGAGGTAAGAACTGATTATTGTAGGATGGATGAAACTATAAAATGCCAACATTATAAATCCACTTGTGATCTCAATATGGACTATTTATTTGTAGTTTCCATAAGTTTGATAAGTGAGGAACATAAATTATAAGTTGAATAAGTGTAATTATGCCATATCTTTATGACATATTATAGTTTTTTTTTTCTTTTTATAAAAGGGAAAGCAAAAAATAATTGAAATAAAAAATTAGGAACGTCATCTTCCTCACTTCCCTGTTGATGCCCAAGGACCCCCTACTACTACTAGCTCTAGGAGTGCTTATAGAAAGAAGAAGGCAATAGGTTACCTGAAAGGAAGAGGTCAGCTCGACCACGACAGGAAGAGGGATCGTATTGATTGCAAGTTGTTCAGAATACTTGAATGGACAAGATGAATCACTCATATATATATGGGGAGGGGGCGTCACCCTCCACCATTAGATTGGTGAACACCTGAAGCGCAAAGATCCAAGGATACATAAGGATGTGTCTCGATCTCCCTCCAGTCAGATGAAACGAGGTCTTGAGCACCTCTCAAGAGGCAATGTGTAGCAAACATGTCAAAAGCTTGCTCCCCATCTCCTTAGAACTTCTGTGCTGACCTCTAGCCATGAAAAGATAACCACAACTAGAAAGTAGGGCCAATGTTATGGGTAAAATCAAGCCACAACTAGAAAGTAGGGTCAATGTTATGGGTAAAATCAAGCCTGCCATGTGGCCATCCCGCTCAGAAACACGTGTTGGGGCCTAAAACCGATGAGGCCAAAGATGAGAAGAGCCAAACAAAGTTGACTCTAATTAATCCATCGGAAGCCCAACTCAGCACTTACTTGGAAACACAGATGACACCAATGTAAAATTCACTAATTATCAAGTACGGAGCACAGAAATAGCAAGACAATGCTTCCCAAAGCTCTCTCCTATAAAAGTTGGGATTCATTCCCCGCAAAGATATGTAATTATACAAAACCTCATTAAGATTGACTTAACACCAGTTTGGCGTACTAACTTATTTGAATGTGTAATATCGGACCACTATGAGTTTCTGTCTGCAAGTTCTCTACTTGGTTGATCAGGAGTCCACCTTGGCTCAAACACTAACTCAACGCCTCGTCTTAACATCTTGCATAAATAGGTATAATTTTAAAAAAATCAAACCTTTCATAAATGCTTTCATAACAGCTACCTTAAATGAAATAAAAATAAAACAAATAATAATTATGGGGAAAAGGGAATTTTTTTAGTACAAATAAGTTTAGAGAAAACATGGCAAAAAATCAATCTGCATTGGGTACTACTCGATCCATATCCTTCAAATGCTAATGTCTTCTTGCATGAACTGCAAGTTTTGATTACTTCATTCCATTTGCAGCTTGTAAGAGTAATTCCTTTTACCTCCCTATTTCTACATTTTTTTCTTATTTCATCTAATATCAATTGATTTTGATTATCAAATCTATCTTTTCTAGTGATAAGATTCCGCATCAATTTGGAATCAATTTCAACCCAAAAAGGTGTTGGGTTTGTTTATGCAAGGATTTGCACAACGTTTACTTAGCTCGAACCCGATCCTCGCTCTGACCCAAAACACGAAGGGAAGACCTGCACAAGAGAGCAAAATCTCCGACGCTCAAATGAGTAAGAAGCTCGGACTCATTATTAAGTTCGAGGAGAAAATTTCATACATGATGGTGAAATGAGGCCCTCTATTTATAGGTTTAGGATCCGACAGGAGTCACAACAGGCGGTTACCTTGGTCGGATTTGAGGTCGGATGTGTTGGGTTTGAGCAGATCGAACTCGGACACTTTCTAAGTTATAAATTGTTTGGGGGTGACAAACCTTTCACCTCGGAAGGTTCCGAGGAGAAGCTTCGTAGGCCAGCTCTTCTGGATAACCTTTTTTTTATAACTAATTTATGTCTTCCACGTGGCGGCTGGATATTTTATCTCCGAACATTGGCCCCCTCTCTCCCGGGTTCGACCTCAATCTGGCAGAGAAGTTTTTATCATTTCTGGAAGAAACAATCCACGTGGTGAATTTTGGGGTCGATATGATTAATTGTACCGTCAGTGGATCTCGAAAATGGAACCGGTGTTCGGCGCGCACTCGAGTACTTTCAACATTTGGAATTCTTCCGATCTGAGATGTCTAATTTGTTACACGTGTGCGGCTGAGATTGAATTTCGGATTGCTATAAATAGCCCCAAGGTTCTGTTATCTAAAATGTTGGAGTTCGACCTGATCAGATCGAAATTTGGCTTTAGGTCAGTCTCATTCTTTTGATTTTGTTTCACTGTTCTCTCCTTTTAATTTTCGAGTCATGTCGACGTCTTCTAGCTTCTTAAGTTCCACCAATAATAGCTCATTTAGCAACGTAGCTCGGAGTCGGGACTCTTCACCCGAGAAAGCCGATTCCGTAGAAGAGTTCACGAGTAGGTTAGACTCCGAACTCGAAGAGGAGATGATAGTGATACATCCACTTCGGGCCAGGGTTTAGAGTATCCTTCCCAAATGCCTGAGAACTACCTCGGCCCTCTTCATAGGAAATATAGCATACCAGACGATATTGCCCTTAGGCTTCCCAGGGGAGGGGAGCGAGCTGATAATCCACCCGACGGGTGCGTGACCCTTTAGCTGAAGATGTTCGAGTACGGCTTCTGCCTACCCGTTCATCCTTTAGTGCAAGAGTTTCTTGTTCGGATCAGGTTAGCTCCTGCTCAAGTGGCCTCCAATGGCTGGGGAGTTATTTTTGGCCTAGCCGTCTTATTTTGGCTTAGTGTAAGGAGGTGGACGACCTTGATCTCCTTGGAGTTGAGCAACTTTTAACTTGCTTCGAGGTCAAACGTATCTCTAAGAAGTCGGGGAGGTATTATTTGTGCGCTAGAAAGGGCGTAGGAGGCATTTTGAAAGGACCGACCTCCATAAAGAAGTGGGTCGGGAAATGGTTCTTTGCCTCAGGAGCGTGGTTGGCCAAGAACGAGTCTGACCTGTCCTTTTACAACGTTCCTTGTAGGTTTGGGAACTTAGGTAAGGGGTTGAGTCTTTACTTGCTTTTAGTTTCTCTTCTTCATGGTCTGACTTGTACCTTTGCCAATTTCAGTCGCTGTTCGACCAATCCCTCAACTTTTCGAGCCGACCTTCAATGCCCTGAAATTTTTCAAAGGCAAGTTTAAGAGCAGCAAACAAATCAGCAAGCTTATTACGGACAGAATTCTCTTAGCTTCCGGGCTACTTGACTTCAACCCTCTCCTACTCCCACCTGAATCCTAGAGATCCAACTCCGAACTAGGTTAGTTGCCTTTACTAAATGTTCATATGTCATGCCTCAGACGTCTTTCGCACCTTGCGGTTTTAACTCACAATTGTTCCCTTTTGCAGCGATGGTTTGTGGCTTCTTGCAGGATGTTAGGCGCAAGCGTCCATGCGCTAGGCAAGCTACCAAGAGCATAGAGGCGCCTAGCCCTACAGTCACCGACCTTCCCATTGAGGTCGAGGTGGTTAAGGCCGGGCACACAGCCGCTTCGACGCTAGAGACGACTGCGGCTGGAACCTTTCAGGATCAGGAGATCCTCGAAGTTTCTCCCCTTAGGGAGATTCGGAAGAAGGCTTCCCCCAAGAAATCCAAGAAGAAGAAGAGAAGAATTCATCATTCCGAGGACGAAGTGAGGGAAGTGCGCGCTGACCAGCGGGTCAGTCCTTTCGGGGACTTAGTGGACAACCCCGAGGCCAGGATGGGTGGTACCTCCGACATCAAGATGAGGTTCAAGGTCGAGCCGTCTAGTGCCGGGGTGAGGGAAAGAGCCATGGAGATGTCGGGCTCTTGCTTCGATCGCTGCTGAATGAGAGCTTCTAAGTTTGTGAGCGCACCAGGCTCAACCATCCAACGGCTGTTGAATTACACTGTCGAGGTACGACCTTGCTTTTTCTTTCTCTTTCGTACTTGTAGACTTATCTCAAGTACTAACCTTTTACCTTTCTTTGCCCACGCCTGAAGGCTCACGCTGCAGCTTGCCAGACAGCCCTTATGGTGAAGGCCGAGCTGGAGGGGCGCGACTTTTTTATTGTGAAGGAGCGGGAGGCTTCTTCAACTGCACTGGAGGCCGCCACGGCCCTGGAAGGGGAGCTTAAGGAGGCCCATGTCGAGGCCCAGTTGTGGAAATCCACATCCGAGGCCGACAAGGCTAAGCTAAAAAGTGTCCAGGGTGAGGCTGTCTGCCACATGGAAAACCTT